CGTTGGCCGCCGGTCGGCCGCCCCGTCGCCGCGGTCGTCGGCCTGCGGCGGCTGCCGCCGTCGTCGTCGGCCGCCATGGCCCGCCGGTCGGTGTACCTCGGCCGGCTCGGTCGTCCGCTGCCTGCTGGCCGCCGCGGTCGGTTGCCCTCGGGCGCCCGCCGGTCGCCTATGGTTGCCATGGCCGCTGCCGCTGCCGTGGCCGTGGCGCCGCGGCTTCGCTGCTGTCTGCCGGCTGCTGGGCTGCGGTCGCCGCCGCCGCCGCCGCCGCCCGGCCGCCGCCGCCCGCCACGGTCGCCACGCTGCCGGTCGCCCGCCGCCACGGTTGCCGGTGAAAAATATTTTCCGAAACTTTTTCACATTGGTCGCTGTTGACACCTATTTTTAATTTGCCCAAAATTAATTACACAAAATTTAGGAATTAATTTTCTTTAATTCCTAAAACAAAAAAATATTTCTATTTAAATGCATTGCATATAGACATTAGGCATATTTGCATTAATAGGGCATATTAGAGCATATTTTCTTAAATTTTAAACAAAAATTTTAAAAAAAAAAAAAAAAAAATTCGAGTCGGGCCGGGTCAGAGCTGGGCCGACCCGGCCCATTTCTTTTTTTCCTTTTTCCCCCCGGGCCCGGCCCTTTGTCTTTTCTTTTTTCCGTTCGCGGGCCCGGCCCGCTTTCCTTTTCTTCTTCTTTCCCCCACGCCGCTGCTGGGCCTGGCCCGGCCCAGCTGCCCTCTTCCTTCTCCCCCGTCGCTCTCGCTGCCCTGTTCGTCTCTGCTCACAGACGGCAGCGTGACGCACGGCGGCGCCGCTTCTCACCGTCGCTGTCTGGCCAGAGGAGGGCCGGATGAGCACGCCGACGGGACTGGCATTAATGGCCAGTCCCGTCCTCCCCATTTCCCTTCTCCCTTATCCCCTCCTCCCTCTCGGCTCCCTGTTCCTCTCGGCCCCCCCTCCTCTGCTCTGCTCTGCACCGGCCTGCTATGGCCGCGAAAGTCGCGGGGCAGGTAGGCCGGTGCAGGCCATCGTCACGCCGACGCGGGGAGGCACAGGTTCGTCGTCGCCGGCTATAAATAGCCAGAGAGAGAGAGAGAGGCCGGTCGGCCGTTTCTAAAAAGACAAGGAGAAAGAGAGACTGAGCGAGACAGAGAGACCGAGAGTTCTTCCGGCGACCGCCGTGCTCGCACCGCGCCTCAGCCATCCATCCCCGCCGCCGAGCCGACGGCGGCGACACAGTGAGAGAGAGAGAGCCCCCGGTCGGCGAAACACAGAGAGAGACTGAGGGAGACAAGAGAGAGAATAGAGAGGGAGAGAGAGCAAATCGAGGCCACGCCGGAGCTAAAGAAGAACCAGCAACGGTCGTCGACGCCGCCAGACTAGCCGGAAACCGCCCAGACGCGCCGTCGACCGGTGAGCCCCCCGCGGCCGAGAAGCCCCTCTGTTTTCCCCTGTTTTCCGGCGTGGTTGGGCCGGGACTCGCGCCGGCCGTTTCGTGCGAATCCCGGCCCATACCGACGTTGGTCCCGGTCCCTGCTCACCGTCTGAAGCGAACCCAAGCCGCTGGAGCCGACCGGATCGCCGGAGGAGGTCGGAATCCCCCGTTTTTCCACGCGCCCGCCAAGCGTTCGACGAAATGCCTCAACCACGCCGGTTTTTGTTCCATCGCCGGCCGGCGAACGGTGGTCCGACGGCGGTTCAGGTGAGTGGCACGGCCAGAGGCGGTCCTGGTTGGGCGACTAGGGGGCGGCACTGGCCTGGGTCGGCCGGCGGACGGCCAATTTTGGCCTCGCCGGCGCCCCCCTCCCCGCGGATCTGTTTGTTCGGGTCGGATTCGACCCGAATCAACAGATCCGACCCGGGTCAACGCCCGGGTCGGATCCGTTGACTCGGGTCGGTTCCGACCGACCCGGAGTAACAGTTCCGACCCGGGTCAACGACCGGGTCGGATCCGTTGACCCGGGTCGGTTCCGACCCGATCCGGATTGACCGATCCGACCCGGGTCAACGCCCGGGTCGGATCCGTTGACCCGGGTCGGTTTCGACCCGGATCCGCCCGACCCGGGTCGGTTCCGACCCGGATCCGCCCGACCCGGTTAATATTATATTATTATTTTATTTTATTTTTTAAAATTTTTTTTTTTAAAAAAAATTATTTTTTTTCTTTTCTTTTGTATTATTATTATTATTATTATTAATTTTTTTTTATTTTTTCGAAAAAAAATTTTAAAAAAAATAAAAAAAAATTTTAAAAATTTGATTGATATATTCAAAATGTTTAATCTAATGTGATATTATTATGCATATTTTTGTCTTGTTTAAATTAGATAAACTTGAGATTGCGCGGTAATATTTTGCATGTTATGTTTATTATCGCTGTATTGTTATGCATGTTTTTAATACAATTGCATGAGCGTTGTGTTTTTGAATGTCATCTGACTTAGTTAAGGTTAGAACCTTAGGCTGCATAAATTGTTGTGTTCCTGACTGCTGATCGTTCCTGATTATGCACTCGCTTGATCACCTCACATGTTAGGAGAAAGGTCCTAAAATCAATCCAAATTGCCTGACAAATGTTTTCAGAAATGAACAGGGTAAAATGGTACCGAAAGGGCATTAGTTATCCAACTAGTGTAACCAAGTCCCCGAACTCATTTAATCTCTGGTTCGTAGGAATAGGGTGATTCTCCCATCACCCTATTTGGGTTTCTAATCGACCTACCCCAAATCGATTAGTGGCGACTCCTTGATATAAACCACTTGCATGTTAAAAACTTAAACCCTAAGTCGCGATATGGTACGGGCTTGGGAGAGCCCGAGTTAAGTCCTGAACTTAGACTTAGCACGTATCAGGCGAGCCCCCCTTCTCTTTGCATGATTCAATAAAAAAGGGCTCGGGAGTTCGGTCGCGACAGTCGCCGAACACCGGAAAATTATGTTCCGGGAAAATATTTTCCAGGAAAATGACTTCCGGGAAAATATTTTCCAAAAGGAGAATATTTTCCGCCAAACGAACGGAGCTGTAGTACACACTTCAAATCATTTTTCAGAGTCTGAATCCACAGCATTCATCGCACGGCCATTTTGTGTTATTGTCCTGTTTCATATGCATATTTGTAGCCCATTTGTTATTTCTTTATTAAGTACTGATATAATGTTTAGTTATTAGGTTAATACCATGAAAACTTCATATGATGTTCCTTATTCTTCTCATTTTATTCATCCAACAATCAAATTGTTGGCATTCCACCATTTTTTGCAATTCGCATGATCAAGAATTATGAACATGTTGTCTTCAAACAAAAACCTAGAGTTATGGGCCCGTTGTACTAGTTATGGAAGTCATTGAGTTGTTGTACACGTTTAAAGTCGTTTTCAGAGTCTAAATCCATAGCATTCATTGCACGACCTTTTTGTGTTATCGTCCTGTTTATATGCATAATTTTAGCCCATTTGTTATTTCTTTATTAAGTACTAATGCAATGTCTAGGTGTTCTCTGAGGTTATCCAGAGATTAGTCGTTAAAAATTTCTATTCTGTTTACACCATGTTACCATATAAAATAAAGAGTAACTCTTACGATTTCAAGGGATCTTGATCGTTCTTATTCTCCTCTAACGATCCGTAGGTATCTATTTTACAAATATATTGTGTCCGTAGACAAATGCATCATTTCAATTTTAACATAACATACAACGCGCGTGCACATTTACTAGCCGTAAAGAATGACAACATCTAACATTTCTAATGAGAAATTCAATTAATATGACAACTTGGCAATTTGAAAAGACATCTGCAAATCTGGATATGCGTGTTCTTCATTTGAATACCTGAGTTGTAAAAGGGGTTGAGGTAAAGTTTTCTAATCAAAATCAAGTTGTCGTAACTTTCGAATTTATATATGTATATGCACATACCTATGTATTTTATGTATGACACAAATTTTCAGGACCTATTACAAATGTTCTTTTTCATTCGCTCACCTCATCAAATGCCTTCACCTTTTCTTGGATAGAGACCATCTATGCTTTCATCTCTTAAGAGCAACCACAAAATCAACTCTTCCTTTACACTATATTTTTGCTAACTTTTATTATTCACCACGAGTCTTAACATCGTGTGCATCCTTAATTTTTTCACTTCAAGACGCACTCGTTAACTAAATTCTAACAACATAGGTTATTTCTCAAAAGCATAAAACACATCACATTCGCTCAGTCGGAAATAAAATCTTTTTTTTTCCCAAGTTAAATTATACCTTTTTAAAGATAAGAGGATGACTCATCCCGTCCCTTCAATTTTATCACCGACAAAATAGTACTCGTTTTATTATCCGAAATCATTATTTTATAACTTAAACATCCATCTAAATTATTTATTTTGGATAATCCAAGCGTTTTGCACTTGGTCCCTTCTTTCTCTTTTACTCCCTAATTTTTAACCAAAATTACAAAAGTCCCTTTTTTTTTTTTGAATTCCAAAAAAGGGAAAAAGCGGGATTTGTTGGCAGGTCCAGAATATCCAAACCGATATTCCCCCACGAGTAAAAAAAAAGGAAAAACCGAGCAAAAGTAGGACAGCGAGGTCTGATACGTAAAAAAAGGAAAAGTATTTTTTTTAAAGGAATTTTTTTGGCCATTCAATGACTAGCAAACAAAATCTCTGTCGTCAAACTTTACCCCCACCCCCTGAATTAATTAGTTAATTAATTAAGACGTTACAAATAATTTTTTTTTCGCATTTTATTAATTTATTGGTTTTTGGGGCCACAGCTTTAGTCTCTTGTATAAATAAATAAATAAATAAATAAATAATAATAAATCGAGAGATATATGAAAACAAATAAATAAGTTTAAAATACTCCGACACATAGCAGTCGAGGGTTTTTGTCCGCATATATATCAAGAGCGGAGCCGCCGTAGGATCTTGAGGAGTCGTCGCACGCTCGGTCGCGCTCCAGAAGACGAAGAGCCTGACGTCGCGAGGTCGTCGATCGCTTTCCTGAGGTCGCTTCTCGTACGTTCCTGCGCGTTCTTGGGTTTTCGTTTGGATTTTCTCGTCGATTCTTTTGTTGTTGTTGTCGATGTCGTTGTTGTGGGAATTCGATTGATGGGGTTGCTTTACGGCTGCGGTCTGAGAGGTTGTGTGTCGATCTGAAGCGGAAGAACGAGGCCTTGCCTTTGTCGGGTGCGTGCGTGCGTGCGTGCGTGTCCGTGGGTGCTTTGCTTGATGGGTTCTGGTTGTGGAGGCTACGTGCAAGTATCTTGGGCTTTTGCATGGCTGTTGCTTCGCGTGATTTTCTCTGCCTGTCTGTCTGTCTGTCTGGAAGACTTGCTTGCGTCAAGTTTTGCGAGTGCTGTTGTATTATTCCTGGTTGCGGCTACGATTTTTTTTTTCACTTTTTTTTTTATGTTTTTGTTTGTTATGTTTACGCGCAGGCTTGATAGAGATTCAACAGTAGTGAATTCGTATGTTCAAGGTTTGTTTTTTGCGGTTGTTTTGTTCGTCGGAGTCGTGAAAAGTTCATTGCTTTGTGTTTTTTTTTTACTGTCAATTTTGCTTCACATGCCGGGCCTTTTTGGGTTGCCCGCATAATTTTTGGTTTCACTGTTGGTATATGGGGAGGAAGTGATCGAGGAGCGGATTCAATTTGATGGAGTGGATTGGTTTCTATGATCGCGATATGTTTGCTTAGTTTTGCATGCTTGACTGGTGTTTTCTTCTACTGGAAATAGAGTAGAGTCCAATGTTTACGACGGCCCTTCAGATTTCAGTGCGATTGTTCCTTAGATGATTGATAACAGCAGTAATTTTCTGCGCCGCTTGTGCTCTTTTTGATATTTATTAGGGTGACCCTGAGAGTCGGCTAGGTCGGATTCAACCCGTATTGGTTGCTTAGCTATTCAGTTTAAAGTTTGGCTGTTCAGAGTTTTTGGTTCTACTTTAATGCATAATATCGGATGAACTTCTGCTATAAATGGACGGTGTTAAACAAGAACCAGGAAGATTAAAATATAGTGAAAAGTGGATAAAACTTCTGAAAGTGACCCGGTCATGGTCTTGGCCCATGGGATGGTAGATTTCGCACCAAGCACTATCACTTTTGGCTTGAGTCAAACTAATTGCATGTGCTCAAAACTCATTGTTACTGAAACTTTTGCAATTTGGCCTTCAAACTATTAACAGGGATGTGAGTGATGATATTCTTTTGTTCTAAGTGTCCAAATCTGAAGTCTGACTAGTCTGAAACATGGACGTTGGATTTTTTTGGAAAGCGATTGATTGTCCTGTATGGGATTGCAAAAGGTCCAATTGTTTGTTTGCTGGATTATAGAGTTACCTCCGAAATTGATGTGAAAAGGATGCAGCACCGTATATACTCGAGAGGGATGGGGAGAAAAGTGTCCGGTGTGGGAACCCTGGTTTTGTACTCATCCATGGCATTTTAGGTATAGCTGCAAATTTTTAGAATGTTGTGGTTTTAATCAGTCATACAATCCATGTGTGTCAAGACATTGGTAAGATTCCAAGTTTAAATTCCTGCTTGCCTTTTCATTCAGTTGCGCACTTGCTAGTTAATTTTATGGACTGCTACTAATTTTTGCATCACGGTAATCAAGGAATCTATAGGTTAGCTAAAAGAGAGATAACCATACTTTGACATAAGTGAACTCTGTTCCTTAAACTGGTTTGATTGTTGCATAATAGTTGTAGGCTGGGGTTTGGTCATTATAGAAATAGATACATTCCTGTAAGGTAGAACCTTGGAAGCGTTGAATAGTAGTTTACATGTTATGCTTCTGAAGAATGGACAACTAGATGAGCATTTTGCTGCATTATGGTATATGCTTTAGAGTCCACTTGCAGAATTGTCCCAGTTATCTGGAAATTAATATGCTTTCCATTTGGGTTCGGATATCGGTCAGAAGGTGAGTAATTCAGATGGGGAGGCGACGTTTGGGCCATTGACATTTGTGTGGAAAATTCTCTGCGTAGATTTAGATATTCAATTATAAGTGCATTAGTTTACAGCCATGATGGTATGTCCAATGGCTTTGGTTTGAACTTTGAAGTGACTAGAATTCGAAATGTTCGCTAGAATGTTCACTAAGAGGCATTTGGGGCTTCCTTTTTTGATGGATGTGAAGGTGTACTTTGGGATCTGTCTTTTGGGAATCTTGCATATACCAAAAGATTGTGGAGATATTAAATTGCAATACTTTTTAAGATTAGACTCAGCGCTTCTCATATGGAATAGAGAAAACTCGGACGAAGTTTCCATAAGATACTTGTCTCTATGGTATTAGCGGAATTTTAGGGTAAGCTACTGTTTTCCTTTTTCTTTCTTTCATTTTTGGCTTTAGCATATGAGCCATTATCCTTAGAGTGATTACAGCCTATGAAGTTTAAGTTTCTTCTTTGATTATATATAGTGTGGGGCTTATAATTTGGCACATTACAATTACAAATGACCAAGTAAGCTGCATATTATATATTTCAACCCTTAGATGTCACGTTTCCCTATGTTAATCTGTTCTTCACGTGTGTACATTTTTTATCTAGAGATTCTTCCAGGGGGAGCTCATTCTTTACTGTCTGATTAATCATGTTTTAGTGTATCCTGGGTTTATATGGTAAATGAAATACTTGGCATTTGCATTGAATCCAATAACATATTATTCTTGTTTTCAGATGGAAGCTCGGAGTGGTGAACATGAACATATAATTGAGGTTTATGGGGAATTGCCAGCAGAAACAGGGAGGGGTGGGATAAAAATTTGTGGTGAGGCACCTTGTGGATTTTCAGATTCTAGTACCAGTTCTCAAGATGCAAAGGAGCGGTCAGCATCTATGAGGAAACTTTTGGTGGCAGTTGTTCTCTGCATAATATTCATGACTGTAGAGGTTGTTGGAGGAATCCAAGCGAACAGTCTAGCAATTCTAACAGATGCAGCTCATTTATTGTCAGATGTTGCTGCATTTGCTATATCCTTATTCTCCCTGTGGGCTTCGGGATGGGAGGCAACACCTCGTCAATCCTATGGTTTCTTTAGGATTGAGATTCTTGGTGCTCTTGTGTCGATTCAGATGATATGGCTTCTTGCTGGAATTCTTGTATATGAAGCCATTGAAAGGCTGATCCATGATACAGGTGAAGTTAAGGGCTTTCTTATGTTTGCTGTTTCTGCCTTTGGTTTAGTGGTTAATATTGCCATGGCACTTTTGCTGGGTCACGGTCACGATCACGGTCACGGTCACGGCCATAGTCACGACCACGGCCATGGTCATCATGGCCATAGTCACGACCACCGGCACAGTGGAGATGGTCATGACCATACTGACGAGGATCATGCTGGACATAATCCAAAACCCAGAGTCACATCTGATGATCATCATCACCATCATCATGGAGAATTTCTGGAACACCATCATGAGAGCTGTCATCATCATGGCCATGAAACAGATCATAGCGAGCCATTGCTCAAGGCTTCCTGTGATATCAATAACGAGAAAGAGAGTGGGCATAAACAGAAGAAGCAATGGAATATCAATGTACAGGGTGCTTATCTTCACGTGCTAGGAGATTCGATTCAGAGTGTCGGTGTGATGATTGGTGGAGCGATCATATGGTATAAGCCCGAGTGGAAGATCATCGATTTGATATGCACCCTTATATTCTCAGTAATCGTGCTGGGCACTACAATAAGAATGCTTCGGAATATTTTGGAGGTTCTCATGGAGAGCACACCGAGGGAGATTGATGCCACAAGGCTCGAAAAGGGTCTCTGCGAGTTGGACGAGGTGATTGCAGTGCATGAGTTGCACATCTGGGCAATAACAGTCGGGAAAGTCTTGTTGGCTTGCCATGTTAAAATAAAGCGTGAAGCCGATGCGGACATGGTGCTGAACAAGGTTATTGACTACATCAGAAGAGAATATAACATCAGCCATGTCACAATTCAAATAGAGCGTGAGTTGATGTTGAGCTAGCGAGATGACCATCTGTACTTGGGCATCAATGCGCTGAATATATGTGGAGATGTTTAAAGGATCCGGTGAGTCAACTGTTCGACTGTTCGATCGTAAAGATGACGAGTACGGACGCCATATATTCTTGAGAGAGCCAGCCGGATCAGCATTGAGGTTTTAGTTGCTCTCTTAATTGTGCAGTGGACTTGAAATCTTTCACCATGCATAAAATGCAGTGTGCACTGCCCTTGTTCGCGACTTTAATTTGGACATGTTACTACCCATGCTTGCATTGTCTGTGTCAATTGATCTCGAGTGGATGTTTAGCATATGCAGAATCAGGGCTGTGAGACGGAACTGCGATTTCAGCTTTGACTTTTTTTTAGTTGCTAGGTAAAATATTTAACAATGGAGTGAGCATCCTAAATGGAATAAAACTTATTTGTCATATTTCTTTTTGGGGTGCATATTTGACATTAAAGTCGAATGATTTTGGATTACCACAAAATTTCTGTGCACAGGCTCATGCCATTCCATGCCTCGCTTCGTTAACATTCCTTCGATTCCGCATTTGGCATTTATTCCTTCTGTAATTTCTTTTCCTCCAAATTCCTTTCTTTTGCACTAAGTTTGCATGAGCAATGGAAAGAGGATCCGTTCTTCAACATTAGGCAGTGTTCTGAAGTCGGCCCACTTTTGAAAGATGATTGCGATCTGAATGTTCTGCGAAGGTGGCAAGCATCTTTCTCATGAGTTGGACAGCGGTGTGAAACGCAGGGATGGATGAATGCCAATGCCCCCACCCCTTTGTGAAACTGAGTAGCAAGAAAATCTATTGTATGTTGGGAGATGCAGAAGAATGGATTGACGTATACATGACCTCTGGTGAGTTAGGATTATGCACATAAATACAACGAAATAAAAAGTAAAAAGGCGAGAAAGAATAATCGAGTTACAAGATTTATTATGGTTTTTTCTTAAACTTGGGCTACATCGAAGGATTCCACCATAATTAGTACTATTTTTCTGTTATATCGCTAACGTGGACGCCGGCCGGTCACGTGGTGTTGACGTGGACATTTAAAATAATGTTTGAATTTTTTTTATGGTTTTTTTCTTTTTTTTTCCTTTTCTCTGTTTGTTTTTTTTAGGTTTTAGAGTTGGCCAATGATGGTGGTCGGCTTACCCTCGCCGGCACTGGGCGATGGCCGCAATGCCCTCGCTGGCCAAAGCGAGGGCGTGCAACCCCCTCGCCCAAATCCGACGAGGGTCGAATGCCCTCGCTAGATCTGGCTAGGTGAGGGCTTGGCGGCCCCACGCCCTCGCCTGGGGCCGGCGAGGGCCAGCGACCCTCGCTTAGCCAGATCTGGCAAGGGCATCGCGGCCCTCGCTAGATCTGGGTGAGGGCATTGCGGCCCTTGCCTAGAGCCAGCGAGGGTTGGCCGGCCCTCGCTTGTGGCTAGTGAGGGTCGGCTGGCCACCCTCGCCGGCCAACTCTAAAACCTAAAAAAAAACCAGAGAAAAGGGAAAAAAAGAAAAAAAGAATAAAAAAATTCAGAAAATTATTAAAATATTATTTAAAAATATCTACATCAGAGTCACGTGACCGGTCGGCGTCCATGTCTGCGATTTCCGGCCAAAATTGGCCGGATAGACTCAATTGGCAAGAAGTGTAAAGGTTTAGGACTCAATTGGCAAACTTAAAAGGTTTAGGACTCAATTGGCAAAAGTATAGGAGGTTTAGAACTTTTTGGACGATTTTCCCTTCAAACAAAACATGCCTCGAATCGCATAACTGCAATATCCATGAAAACACATGCCTACATTGGAATGCGTTTGAAAATGAAGCTCAACACGGGCGAAAGAGCAGATTTTGAGCGAGAACACTTGACGGGCAACAGATGCGCCAGATATCGGCTACAAAGCGGTCGGAGTTCCGTAAAGATTGGAGCGTAGAGAGAAGTGGTCCCTTTCACGGCTGTATCTCTGGATGACTCGATTATCTTGGGATCAAGTCCCGGAGGCAAGTGTGTGTGGTATCGATGCCGTTTGCGGACTCTTTGCTGTTCATGGTGTGGATCGACCATGCACTGCGCCAACCCAAGGGCGTAGGCCAAGCAATGGCCCGAGCAAGAGTTGCAACCCCATGATGCTGTCGGCATTGCAGCTCAGCGTGGACTGAAGTAATGGGAACCCACGTGCCTCGCCTTTCTGACTGTAGAAGAGAATGTGGCCGAGACCGTTCTAAAAGAGATCGGGGGACGTGCTGCTTGAGGTTAATTATTCGAAAGCACCAATTGCGTGAAAAACTACTTTGGATTGAGGCCATGTGCACACGTTAAAGGGTTGGACTCAACCGGTACATGGCCTTTCCGAGAGTTTCAAGGTTCTTTAGATAGCCGAGTCTCTACATTTGTGCCGTCCTTGGATTAAAAAAGAATTTCAATATCATTCTAACTAACTTATTATTAATATGCGTAAACAAAATAGCTATAAGTCATGTATGTATGACAAGCAAAAAATAGAACTTGAAAATTAAAAAACACCGGGAGGGGTGATCAGCTCGCTAGCAACCCCCTTTGGGCTATCATAAGGGTCCTGTACCTTGGGTCCGTTTGGTTCAGCTTTTCAAATGCAACTTGGGGGAATGCAAATACCTTTAGGTGAAAGCCACTTGGGGAAATGCAAGTGGTGTTTGGTAAAAAAATTTTTGTGAAGCTACTTTCGTCTAAGTAGTGTTTGGTAAATTTTTTTTTGCAAAGGGCTTTGGCAATTTTTATTCTTAATATTCCGGTTTTGCCCCTATTACTGTTCATCTTCTTCACTGTGAGGGTGGTCGGCGAAGGGCCGGCGAGGGCGAATCTGGTCGGCGAAGGGCCAGCGAGGGGCCGGCGAGGTCGCCTGACCTAGGCGACGGCTGCCTGGGGTCAGGCGACCGCCCAGGCGCCGTCGCCTGGGTCGGTGGTCGGCTGGAGTCGTGCGATCCAGGTGGCGGTCGCCTGGGTCGCGCGACCTCAGGCGACGGTCGCCTGGGTCGCGCGACCTCGGGCGACCGCCGCCCGGGTCGCGCGCTGCCGCTTGAGGTCGCGCGAACCAGCGACCGCCGCCCGGGGTCGCGCTTACTAGCCGGACCGACCGCCGACCCAGCGACGGCGCGCCGGGCGGTCGCCTCTACCCCAGCGGCCGTCGCCCGGGTCAAGCGACCTCGCTGGCCCGTTGCCGGCCAAATCCGCCCTCGCCGGCCACCCTCACGGTGAAGAAGATGAACAGTAACAGGGCAAAACCGGAAAATTGAAATTTGAGTGAAGGCAATTTGGGAAGGGAAATATAGGCTTCAGCATTTGTGGAATGCTGAAAGCCCAAAGCTGGTCCGGACCAGCTTTGGGCTTTCGACATTCCAACGGCATTCCAAATGCTGGCTTTCGGCTTTCCGAGTCCGGAAAGCCGAACCAAACGGTTCAGCATTTTGGGAAGGGGCTTTCGAGGCCGAAAGCCCCTTCCCAAAGCTGAACCAAACGGGGCCCTTGTACAGAATATTCAGCTTCATACCCGGTGAGCCCGTCGCGCCCTACCAAGATGCTGGCAGTCGAGATGCATCTCCATACGAGATATGCTGTAGCTAGGTAAATATAACATGAGCCATTCAAAGATTCGCTTACGATGTGAATTAAACTTGTGATATCGTGAATACAAGGTATCCCTTTAATACTAGGCTCACCACTTTTATTAAGTACATTTATCTTGAAATCCTTACCTGCCCTTTTTTCTCTTCCCTTAGTGTTTAGGTATTTTTCAAGATTGACACACAGATACAGGTAAACTTAAGACTGGACGCTAAAACTGGGCCAATAGATGCAGTTAAATGACAGCAACATTGGAAGGTTTGTCGAGATCAAGATCAGTCAAAAAATAAGATCAAGGTTTTTTGGTTGGCCGAAGTAAAGAGTTCTGTTATGAATATGGAATTTTATGCTTACTGAGAAATCTGAGATAGGACAGAAATGACATTAATCGAGACCAACGGCATTTCATTAACCAATCATCGTTACATACGTAGAGATGAAAATTTCCAAGAAGATATAAAATGTCTCTTTACCATTTGATTTAATCAATCTATATTCAATAACTTAATAATGGAAATCCATTTGAAGCATCAAATGATGTGAAAATACTTTCTGGACATATGTTTCTTCAAATATTCTGACATCGTTGATGAAAAGCAAGCATTAGCTTCTCGAGTATTGGGTCCACTGTATAATCATGGAAGTACTGTGCCATCTTCCGGATACAATTATCAGATTTTCAAAGTTCAAACGCCTTGATATAATATAACTTTGATTTAAATCGATGAAGATCGTAGGGACTCATAACTTTGTCGATCGACAATGTTCTTGCTATGCGATTCTTGACATTGAGCTAATGATGGGACTCTTCCGACCAAAAGAAAAATGATGGGACTCTTCAACTGAATAAGCATCCATAGAGGATCCAATGAAAGGTGTCGAAAGAAGGCAATTGTATAACAAGAACAATGTCGATCAACAAAGTTATGAGTCACTACGATCTTCATCGATTTAAATCAAAGTTATATTATATCAAGGCATTTGAACTTTGAAAATCTGATTTTATGTGAACCAACCTCTTTGCATATCATTATTATACGGTATAACTGATATACAAAATGCTTTTTTCCTAGTTAGAACCCTTAAATTGAGTTCTTAAAAAAAGAAAAATCATTCGAAATTGACTTGCAAATTGCATTACGAATTAGAAATTGTAATCTATGCCTTTTGATACGGTACAACCTAATTTTTCTCAATACCAAAACTACCATGGTTGAAACTGCAAAACATGCATAATCACCTTTTTTCCATCTACTCTAGATATAATGACTTCCACTTCAAAAAATGATCTTTTATGTGGTCTGCATAGTATCACTTTGTTCATGATAATATTGTTGGAACCAAAAGAATAATGATAAAACTTTGGAATTTGGAATAAGAGCACAAAATTGGAAGGAGCAATTGTTCTTAGAATACTTTTTGTTGGCTTAGATAAGATATACAGCACTCACCCTCACGTCCCTGCAAAGTAGTAGGACACTGACAATACATTTAATGATGAAGACAAACAGCCTACACATATACAATCCTAAGGACAAAATGCCAAACCAAAAAACATACATCAAATGAGCCAATAGCTATGAAGTCTTCGATCAGCTCCTTCTGAAAATTGTTGGAACTTCGCGTTCTTTGACAAAACCCAACAAGAGCTCATCTTTTCCTTATGAAAGCATTTTACTCATTGTTGAATGGTGGAGCGGCTACACAAGGATAGCCCACCATAAATCATGCGAATTTCCTTTTGTCTTCGTTTTCATTCTGACACCCACCATAAATCAAGACATCCTTTGAAGAATACTAACAACCAAATCTAGAACCCAACAGCTCACATGCTTAAATCTTCAAAAGTCAATTTTATATTGTTTTAACAAATATCATGACCCAACCTTAAATAAATCGACACATAACAGACCTGATTTATTGTCATCCAGAAGTTTTAAATAAATCTTAAGCCGAGAGTGTCTTGAACATGTCCAAGCAACATTCAGTCTCGAGTCCTCTGTTCCAGAACTTGTGGTAATAATCTTCATACTTGAAGCTCCTGTAAACTGCAGGATGTTCACGGTCAATCAAGCCCAGAGCAGGTTCAATTATGGCTTCTGGGGATGGGCAATAAAAGGTTGGAATGGAGATTCTCTCCCTGTCACAGTTCACCACTGCTCTATGAAGTATGCTCTTGCACTTGTCATTGCTAATGACCTGATTCAAATAACAATCATGTTCCAGTTCTAAGACTCGTTCGGAAAACAAATGATGGACTTGTGCAAAATGATGGAATCAATAGTCATCGGCCAGAAAAAACTACGCAATTTTTGTTTCTTGTACTAAGCTAAAAAAGTCGCTCCTTCCAGTTTTTATGATTTGTTGTACCGAATTATCCTCCTCATTAGCTTAGAGTCTCATACTTGACATGGTTTAGAAGAATGTAGCCGAAGTACCTGCATTTGATCTCCTATGTTGACAATGAAGGTGTTGGGGATGGGATTGACAGCAACCCATTTTCCATTCCTAAGGACATGTAACCCAGGCACATCGTCCTGAAGAAGGATGGTGATTAAGTTCTGGTCGGTGTGGGCCGGCAACCCGTATGTAAGCTCGGGCTGTGGGCACGGTGGATAGTAGTTCATAGCCATGTGCTGACCATGCTTGCCCAAGTTGTTGCTTATGTAATCCCTGTCAAGCCCCAAGCTTTCTGAAATGGCTTCCAACAGTTTGAGCACCAGATCTCTTACTCTAGTGCAATACTCACCCACCTCCTTCCTGCTAGTCAAGAAGATTGAACCGCAATGCAGTTAACATGTGCCAGCAAGCCGAGACACTTGAAGTTTGGAAAAAAAAATTCGAGAACTTTTAGGTATGCTCTTTCATACTTCCACGACGTGGCAGTCAAAATAAATCATTAGAAAGTACCACTTTTTTTTTGTGAACTCTGATTGGCTGACATTCCATTTTAATCAGCATTGTCTGTTGGTGAAAAGTATGCTCTTCCCCTTATTTTCTTGGATCCTACATTTCTTCTCTTGAGAGATTCTCGATCTTGCAATCTTTTTGTTTAGCTAATATCAGACTTTAGGAACAGCAGCGAGCAAGCTTTTAACTTTCCAAACTTCACCGGAGAAAGCTCGTGAAATCTTCATGATCAACATGAATCTTCAGCGTTTGAATATTACTAAGATCATGTGTGTCTACATATTTCCCATTTTTCTGTTTAGAAGGAAGCTCCACCTCATATGGTACATATCTTGGGCCTAAAAAATAGCCAGAAATCTTATGGATCAAATAAGATCGAGTCATAATTTGAATGATGATCCAAATAGAAATTGCTTACGCGTGATGATAGGGATAATCAAACCCATTGTGCATCTTATAAAGACACGCAAGTTCATTCTCTAACCACTAAGCCATCCCAATTGAAAATATATATTAAAATAAAACATTAATTAATGTTGAACATTTGAGTCAAAATAAATAAATGACATGATGAGAATAAGCTTCGTTTATTACCTGAATGATGGAGGATTGGTCGGCCACTCATGCATGTACTCTTCAAGAGGGTAGCAATGGAGTCTCAAGAAGTCCCTCCAGTTAGACACCTTCTCGGTCTTGACATTAAAGCTAGTCGAAAGCCTGGTCGATTTGGACGGGTCATCGGAGTAACTCTTCAGCCTCTCGCTCTCCGGCAACCGGAAAAATTCCCTGGCTATATTCAGGATGGCCTGCACCATCTCTTCCGGTATCCCATGGTTCTTGATCTGCCAAAGAAAATGTTGAGCAGAATCACGCGAGATAGAGCAAAAACTCATAACGGGATGATCATATCCACCGAGTTTTAAGCGACACCCTTTTGCATATTTAGCATTTTTTAGCTAACCCGCGGTTCGATATACTAATGTTGTACCTGAAAGAAACCATCTTGTTGGCATGCCTGACCAATCTGTCTGATAACATCATCACGGTTGGGACCAGAGAGGCCTTGGAGATCAATGAGTGGGATGGTGGAGGCATCTGAGGCCTCGATCTCAGTGAGGTTTGGGCGGTCAGCCTCGGGCCGGATGTAATTGTTGGGCACGCGGTCGATGCCGGACGCGAGGTCGGTGAGCAAGAGCTTAGTGGCAACTGGAGCCATAAGCACAGCAAATCATGTATTATATTGCTGGACACAGAACTTGTGGGTGTTTGTATTTACAGAGAAAACAATGATCGATTCGGGTAAATTGTGCGCAAGATCATGCTTTTACGTAAGTGAGGACGTCACCAACCCTATCTCAGCAGCAAAAAAGGCAGAAAAGATGTCCGAGAAAACGAGAATGATGGGAAAAACTCCGCTTTTACATGTCAATCATAAGGTCCCTACATCTTCATCACAGCTTCAGCAGCGGAAAGGAATTCAACTACAGCGACCCGTAACCCCAACATCAAATCGAGCCCGCGCGATGAATCAAACCCTTGGACCACGCCCAAGCGAGAGGTGGGTAAGCAGCACCAAGAACTCGACAATCGAACCAGAATCATCGAAATCAGCACCGAAGTACCAAACCCATCTTCCTTATATTGCTGTGGGGTTGGGTGGGGGATGTTACAAAGAACGCCTCCTCTTGTTTTGTGCCCCCTCCCTTTCCATCTTCAACTGTCTCTCCGTGTAAAAACTCGCGGTTTCATTCAGCAGACAAACCAAAAAGGCGACCGAAATGAAAAGCGACCCTCGCCTGTGGCCGGTCGCCGGCCACGGCCGTGTACCGGCCACAGGCCAAAGCGAAAGAAATGAAAAGGAGAGAGCAGAGAGCAAGCGGAGCTGTGAAGAAACGATGAAGAAGATGAGAAACAGGGGAGAGAGAGGAGAGAGGCAAACGGAGATTGGTAGAGATTTGATTAGGTGGGCCCCGCAAGGGACACTTGTCGCACGATGAGTGGATTTGTATTTTGCTGATGTGGAATCACTTGGGTACCCCAATATTTTCTCGGTGGAGATGAGGAGATGGAGCGACGGCGATGGGCGACGACAGATCTGTCTCTATATCGAGCTTAAGACTGAAGATATGGAAAAGGACAGGAGTAGGAAAGGGGCAATTTGTTTCGCCTTTTGATGCTTAGCCACAATAAAAATTGATCTAAAGTTGACGACTAAGATCAAATATCTAGAGGTTGGCTGGAATTTCATCGTCAGCCGCTATCTATAAATCTATGAAAAAATGACACGAATAGTTCATGAACTTTATCCTTATGTGTAACCTGATCCCTGAACTTTAACCCAATTTGAAATATGATTCCTGAACTTTTAATTTGTCTAATGTCATTCCTAAACTTTTGGTACATGGATGAAAATGTTCAATATAGTCTTTCCATTAATTCAAGTTCAAGGACTGCATTACATTGAACATGTACCAAAAGTCCAGGGGCCACATTGTATAGATTAAAAGTTCATGGACCACATTGAACATTGAGCTAAAGTTCAATGACATATTGAACAAATTAAAAGTTCAGAGATCATGTTGCATATTGGGTTAAAGTTCAGAGACTGCTTATGTTATTATCTCTAAATCTGTAGATTACATCTTCAATGGGAGACTAAGAAAGTAATATTATGAGAAACCCTAATTTTTGGTCCATTTGTAGTTTGAATACTCCCGATAGCTAGACGGTCTTGACGTGGGCGCATTAATATAATATTGCTAATCAGTTCGATTTTATTAATTTATTGTGATGATTTTTCATCTGTAGAAAAGCTAATGACGATGTATAAATCCAAGCATAATTTGAATACAAGGCAAAATGCAAAACAGAGTAAAGTTTGTGATGGTCAAAATGTCGAATAAAAGCAAAATCAAATCAAAGTTTCTCATTGCTTACAAGAATGTACAATGATTGCTTACAAGAATGTACAATGATTAAAGGAAAAAAGAAAGTCGGTGGGGGCACTTGCCCTCAATAAAATATCTCTGCTACTGAACTCCTTTTGGTGAGGAAAGCCTCTCAATACACACTTTCCATCAAATATTATGATAAATTATTTAAATTTACACAACATTTCTATTTGAAGAAAGTTATAACGAGGCCTTGTACTTGACAAACTTTGCAAAGGGACCGCCTAGACTTATGAAATGGCCAAATGATTCCCATATACCTCGTCACACCTTGATAACTTTACGCAGAGAAATGGAGATTTGTTGTTCCATATAGGCAGCGTTTGGTCGCCCGGATTTCTAGTCAGGATAAAACTATATAAGAAATTCAGGGATTTTGTCAGATCCTATTCACTTTTGGTAAACGGCAGATTTAAAATCGGATATTCTCATATTCTATCACATTCATTGTTTGGCAGAAACTGTATATCAATATGAAGGACATATATGCCCCTGCGTAATGCCCATGAAATAATATTGATCTTATTATCATAAAAATATTATTCTCATGCACAAGTATACTTGAAAAGATGCACAATTAATTAGACTTATAAACCTCGTTGCAAAACAATGAAAATAAAATTAGACTCACAAACCAATATATTTAAGGGTTAATACCACGAAAAATCCCAAACTGGTACACCTGTGATAAATTTACTCCGAACTAATTTTTTGATCACAAAAAACCAAAAACTGGTACACTTATAATAGATTTACTCCAAACTAATTATTTGACCATAAAAAACCCTAAACCTGGTACACTTGTGATAAATTTACCTTCCGTTAAATTGGATTAATACCACGAAAAATTACAAATTGGTAAACCTGTGACAAACGGAGGGGTAAAACCAAAAACTTCCACTTGTCAACTACCACTTGTTATCCAACTTAGCAATTTGCCGGCAAAATTTAACAGAGGGTAAATTTGTCACATATGTATCAATTTGGGGATTTTAGTAGTCAAAAAATTAGTTAGGGGTAAATTTGTCATTGATATACTAGCTTTGGGTTTTTCGTGGTATTAACCCTATATTTAAACTACTCTTTGCGTTATTTACCACATACTTCTAAATGACTGAAGTTTATAGCCAAATCTAAAAACATATTAAGCTATTCGTAAGCATTTGGAATTGTTAAGTGGGCTCATGGAAACCCACAAATATCTCACTGCCAAATTACTGCAAGTCAAACTGATGTTTGTAAATAGCAAGCAGGTAATCAATTCGTTTGAAAGCAAGATAAATGGTACAAAATTGAGCCTATTTGAAAAGGTAAGTAACCTGTAGTTTAACTTAAAGGTTTTACCCATTCAGTACCCATTCAGTAAGTGGTACTGCAACTCATCACTACTTAATTCTTCAAATACCACAATAATTCATCACGAAGAAGCCGCCTCTAGGATGGTTTTCATAGAGAAGATCCACTTCGTATATATGAAATATTTGAATCCAAAATAATAAACCTATTCAAATTAGGAATTCAACTCTAACTAGGAAAGCCACTTTGATTGGGTTTTCGGTTTCCTTTAGTGGGCTCAAACTTGACACACAAATTCAACACAAATCTTTAAAGTGAATATGTCTCATGAGATTTTGCCGATCTGAAAGGTAGAATGAACGAGATGCACATACTCATTTGTGCCGAAATTTCACCAATTTGACACTTCGGGCGCGAATGACAACATTTCTCTTTCTCGGACGAGTTTCTGAGCAAAAAGTAGCGTTTGATAACGATACATAATTTCTATTTCCGGAATGGAAATTCGTTTGATAACGACATAAAATTTATGTTCCCGTCGGCTGGCAAGCAGTTATGGCGGACGGCTGATGAGCAGCAGTGGCGGACGGCGACTATCGGCAAGTGGGCGGCGGTGGGCAGCAAGGGTGAGCAATAAAAGAGAGTTGTTATTTCTGTTTCTATTCCAGAAATATGAAAGTAGAAAATTTTAACTTCTCATTTTTATTCAAAATTTATTTCTAGGCCAAAATTTGTCCCAGAAATAAAAAAAATGAAATTATTTTACCAAACGGATTTCTATTCCAAATCTGTTTTCGGGAACAAAAAAATAGAAAAATAAGGAAACATAATGATTATCATTCACGCCCTTATCATTCAATTTCTTACGAATACATGGTTGTCTTGTCATCCAATTATGTAAGTGAAGTGGACAGTCACCCGGCTTTAGCCAAAATGGAATTGATATTGAGGCAGGAGTACATGGTTCCAAGAGGAAGCAAGAAATCAATTTGATCTTCTCATGCTTACCCTAAATTATCAATTGAAGGAGACTTTGATGTGATCATCGTTCCTCAGATAGGACAATAGCCTTATCTTACCCTAATTATCAATTGAAGGAGAATTTGATGTGATCATCTTCCTCAGATAGGACAATAGCCTTATCTTGATTGAATGTCTTTTTGTCTTGTATTGAGGTCTACCGAATATATAAGGGAGGGTTTGCTTTTTTTACGTTTGAAGGCTAGCCACCTTTTTCATCACCAAATTGATTGGTTAGGTAAGGCTTTAAAAAGATTAGATGGTTCGTATCTTTCTATGAGCCTCAAAAATAGGTAGAAGATAGGGAGAGCAAGGCCTCTTGAAGTCTACTTGGGTCTTCATTCATCCTCAGGCCCGACTGGGAACATGGGCATCCAGGAGGTGGTGTAGGTAAAAACTATTGAAGTATCTATCAGTGGTCGGAATAGCTATTCTATGATACGCTACATGGAGGTCATATAATAACTATTACAGTTTTACTCGTTTGTGATATGCCTGTAATATTACCGCAAGCAAATATCATAACATGCAATGACCTCTTACCTATAATGTCATAGCAGAATATGCAACCAAACATGCCGACAATATATGATTTTGTTTTTTCGTCAAAGCACAATGACTGTTTGCAGTTTTTTCCCTACAGATGGGTAACATCAACTATCATAAGATATCTTTAGGAGCAAAAGGTACCTTCCGAATTTATCATCACAGTCGATTTCCTTCTAACAATGAAAGAGTCTAAATGTAGCTGAGGACCTGACAGTGCACAACTCCGGTGGACTGACTTTCTGTTTTTACAGGAGCTTTTATTTCAATGAATTAGGCTAATATCAAGGCCCAACTTCCTTGAGCTAGAGAGGCGACCAACCAATGTCCTCGGGCGAATCTTCTTTTAAAGGACCACCTTTAAAGTTTTCAAAAAGAGACACCGGAAAGAGTTGAAAATGTGCTACCGTTTCCTTCTGTTCTGCCAGAAAATGCCTACAAATCTGACTCAGAAGGCCTTGAGATGTCGATTCAAATTCGAACTCATGCAAGTGGAGAGATAGTGCGTTTGATTAGCAGGTACATCACATGGGTACCTTTCTAGATTCACGAATGCCTACATTCATCGCATGATGACATATAGGTAAGGACTTCATCGTTTTTTAGGCGTGAACTGGACTTTTCAGGGAAAAGCCAACCTAGTAAGCATCCAACACGCCTAACTGAGACGCCAAACATTAGTTGTCGTGTTGGTTTCGTAAAAAGCCTCAAAAAAATGTAAAATCAAATGAAGAAATGTATATTTCCAGGGCTATACTGCACACATGGTGACTAATCTTTGCTTATGTATCTGTAGGCTCATAAACAACGACGTAGACCATTCTTTGAGCTCCTAAAAAGAATAGAATTTGAAAGCAAGAGAGGAAATACAAGATGCAGATTATACTTTGTCCATTGACGAGCTTAAACCGAGACCTTGTAGGACATATCATGGTTCAAGTCGATGGCCCTACTGTTGCTCCTGCTGCGTGCACCTGTTTGAACCTGCGGGCCTTGGCTTGGGACCAGGGGCTGTGGGGAAAACTCTGCTACTCCCTGTTGCCTTCGACTGTGCTTCCAGAAATGGACTAGTTCATCATCGAAGATTTCAACCAATCCTACAAAGAATCCTATCCCCTGATTCTCTACGAAGCCTGGGGGCGATACATTTGATATGCACCAGAAACATGAAAAGCCCAAGACATGCACCGATACTCAAGATTTTGCCCCCATGGAAGATGTCTACTAACCAGAACAAATGCATCTTCTTCAGAGGAATAATAAGAATACCTGATGTGGGAGCTCCCAAAGACACCAGCAGCTCCAAAAATCAGTGGAACATCAATGCGAAAACCGCAAAAGGCGGTTCCCTGAATGCCCTTTTGAATGGACATCTTGAGTTTCCACCGAAGCAATTACGCTGCCAATGTTCATTATGATCTGCCTTCTGAATGTAACACGGCGGATATGGATCAGAGAGATCATAGCAAAGAACTAGAAGACAACTTAAGATTGACCTGCGTGCAGCTAGACAAGAAGAAAGCAAAATCCTTCAAAACTCTTGAGGTGGAGGCCAATCTTGCTGCAAAGGAGCTTGCCTTGCGATAATGTCTATAAAGCGCAGTTTCGGTGCATTATTCCAGTTTACGGCATACTGACTCACAAATTGGCCAAATCGCAAGCCAGGTGCAGATTAGTGGAAATAGTTGTGTTAAGAATTTGAGGTTATTAACGTGCGCATTGAAGAAATGGCAGGAATGCGAGTCAATAGAAGGAAAATCTTGACGGTTCTCATTCAAGCTCTTAACTGCTCAAGGAATACAAATCAGCTAAGATGAAAGAGGGATTACTTCTCTATGAAAGTCAGAAGAAAGAGATGCTGAGGCAAAACGGATCCCAAGGAACGTTAGACAATTGCTTAGATGCATTGACCGAAGCAGTGTTTCGCTGCTTCTTTGTGTATTCAGTTCATATTCTAGTACTAGCTTCGATGAGGTTTCACTGAAGAAGGTCAAATGATAATGAACATAAACCAGCACCAATGATTAAGCTTCAAAATTTTGATTGCACAAATAATAGATGAAAATACAGACTGTGCTTCGCTCATGTGTGACAATTTGAAAGGGAGAATCTAAGTCATCTAAACGGAAACTGTTCCAGTAAGACGGAAAATCCAATATCAGACAATTTCTGCACCATATGACTTGGTGATATAGCAGCCTTAAAAATTCTTCAAGAATGAAATCTGTAGCGAAATATCAATGAGAGGCGCTGAACATAGCTCTGCCAGTGATACCAGTGGCCTCACTATAGCGTTCCATGCACCAAAAAATGCAACTACTTTCACTTTCACTTCCACTCAAACTCGATCGGTCAGTAATACATTTTTCCAAGCACTTTCCCCAAACAGTCTGCACAAATAAATGAAAGCAAAAAATGTAAATCATAACAAGAAAACAAAATAGATACATACTTACAGAAGCAAAGTCGATAGCAGCATATAGAAGCACTTGGAGACTGTCACCCACGTTCAAATACTAATTCATTGCAGATTAAGCTACCGCATTCAAGTGCAATCAACGGAAGAACTTTGATTGGACCACTTTGACAAGTTTTAGGACTCAATTGCATTACACTTGTTGAAAGTTTTAGGAGTCAATTGCACTCCGTGATAGGTTTTAGGACTTGATTGTACTTTTTGAAAGTTTTAAACTCAATTGCACTTTCATGACAAATTTTATGATTTTCAATGCATTTATCCCTTCTTTTTGCTATCTTCGCGTGAAGTGAGTGCCCTAAATCAGAATGCATACTTCTTTTAGAAGTAGAGAGTGTTTGGTGTAACTTCTTTGGAGTAGCCACTGCCATGAAAATATGCGCTTCAACTTTTACAAGGTGTTTAACACACACCCAATAGCTACCGTGTCAACACAGCTACTTTTAAAATGCACTCGTCCTGTTTCAAGGTGCTATACTTTTACTGAAATGATTACAGCCACACCAAACTAACGGAAAGCTAACTCTTGTGCTGACTTACCTTAGTAAAACAATGCTAATTTTGTTTGGTGCCAATTTAGTTAAACCTTTTTTGGTCAGCCACTGCCATGAAAATATGCGCTTCAACTTTTACAAGGTGTTTAACACACACCCAATAGCTACCGTGTCAACACATCTACTTTTAAAATGCACTCGTCCTGTTTCAAGGTGCTATCTTTTACTGCAATGATTACAGCCACACCAAACTAACCTAAGTGCACACTTGATTTCAAACGCTTCATATGCAATTTCCTCATCGAGGCACAATACCTCGATCGGCTGAACTTGCACTATTGCTCCTCCAGCGCAAGTCCTGAAGAAGATAATCCCTAGCTAGTTCTAGGAACTTCTATTACTTCATATGATCATAACAATATAACTAATTCCAAAGTCAGCCATTTTCCTAAAATTTTCTTTTAAAGTAACCATTTGACTAAATTTCGAAACAACTAGAGCATGCCAACATCAACATTTTGAGCACAGAAAAATAAAACCAGATAAAACTCAAGAGCGAATACTTGCCTTGGAGTATTAGACATTCTACCAGTTATACAGAGTTTGAGGAAATTTAGCGTGTATTTCAATCCATCCGATCTTAACATGAATTATAGATCTGAGAGTGTAGCTGTCTAAACCCGCTGATACCATGCATACAAATGTCACAAGCTCTTACAGATACATGAGCAAATGGGATAGACAAAGCATTCAGAGAACTCTGTGGACCACATGTGTGTATTCCACGTAAAATTCAGATTCAGAAGCTCATCATCTTGGTTTGATTCCATTTACCCGGCAAGCCATGTCTAGAGAGCATATGAAGGAAGAGACTAAGTTCCGAAAAAGTCCCTTCTAAAACGACTAGGCAGCTCTGCTCGAGCAAAACAACTAGCAGCAGAAACTACATTCAGCCCGCAATGTCCACCGGACTCCAAACACAGACACAGCATTGGCAAGCGTAGACAGGTTCCGTACTTTGGACAGAAAGGCCAAGTGGCCAACCACTCTAAACTCGGCAGTAAGTACCGAACAGGATGTAAGCATGCACGTGGGTGGGGGAATCGATACTTTTAGTGCCAGAGAAAGAAGCGAAAACTGAGAAATTATAAGACAAGGCAATCAAAGCCGATTACGATAACCTTCAAGTTTACACCTTTTTCTCGATCTTTCCTTCGCAACCAAACACTAGTTTCTCTTTTACATTCCGGGGGAAAAAAGTACCAAAACCAAACCTATAATTGGACCAATTTAGTCTTTCACATTTTTACATTAGTACCAATTCAGTCCATCCGGTCAATTTAAGCCGGAAATTGCTGAAGTGGACGCCGACGGTCCTTTGTGACGTGGCCAGGGATGGGATAGCCAGCGGACGTTCAGTGCTAACATGAACATTTTTAATAATATTGTAATAAAATTTTGAATCTTTTGAAAAATTTTCCCTTTTTTTCTTTTTTTTCTGTTCTTTCCTTTGGCTGTGGCCGATACTCAGCTAGGCAGCGAGGGCGACCCTTGCCTAGGCCACAAGGGTCGAGCCCTCGCCGGATTCAATGAGGACGACCCTGGCCGAGTATCAGCCATCGGCCAAAGGAAAGAGAAGAAAAAAAAGAATGGAAAAAAATTATCAAGGGACATTTTTTTAAAAAAAGTGTTAAATATTATTGAAAATATCAACGTTAGCGTCGACTATACCACGTAGGACGCCCGACATCCAAATTAGTGATTTCTGGCCTAAATTGGCCTAACGGACTGAATTGATACTAATGTGAAAATGTTTAGGACTAAATTAGTTTAATTAAAATGTTTAAAACTGAATTGGTATCGATTTAATTTGTTCAATATAGTCCCTAAATTTTAGCCCAATGTACAATATGGTCCTTGAACTTTTAATTTGTTTAATGTGGTTCATGGACTTTTGGTATAGGTTCAAACTAGTTCATGGACTATATGAAAATATTTAATATTTTTCTTCCATTAATTTAAGTTCAAGGACAACATTAAACATTTTCGTATAGTCCAGAGACTAGTTTGAACATGTATCAAAAGTTCAGAGACTACATTGTGTTAAAATATATCTCGAGTTTGAGCCCGTTGAACGAAACCCGACCCAAGATTTATTAAAGGAAAATTCTAAATTGATTAGATGTGGATGTTTGCCGTGGAAATATAGAATTCTCGTTTGGCGTTGGAATAGAAAAGCAGAAAGAAAGAAAATATTCTTTCCTATTTCCTGTTGAAATCATGGACCAAAGTTTCCTACTTGGATTATGCGTATGTGTGTGTGTTTATATATATATATAAAAGTCAAGGTCAATAATGGAAAGTGTATTTTTACAAAAGTTTCCTTTTCCGTGATGGACTTCTGTTCCAAGAGGAAAAGGTTGACCGTTGTAGACCCACGAATAAATATGGGATGTTCTTCCATTCTATCGGCGGAAGAGAGGGTGTGTTATGGTTGCCACAAGAAGATTCTCTGAAGTGCCGCTAACGTGAGTGCTTGATGTTCCGTGGCTGTGGCAGTGTGGCACTTCATGCAGGGAGGTCATTCTTCGGCAAATTACATTAAAAAATTTCAAGTATTTTTAGCGATTAAATTTTGTGGTAAGATTTATGTATAATTCCTTTGCGAGATTAAGAGATTATTTCGTGAAGAATTGTGTGGTTAAACACTGCGTGAGTTATTGGGTGTAATTAGAGCTTGGGAAACCAGTGAACGTAGGTCACTACGACCAAACTACGTAAATCTGGCATTCGATTTATATTCTTATTCTGTCAATTTTATTATTCGATCGCTTGCTTCCGTAACACATTGATCAAATTGAAAGTTTAGGGACTACATTGTACATTGGGTCAAAGTTCAGGAATTATTTGTGTCATTATCCCATAAACAATTTTCTTAAGCCAGTCACTAACTTCTACTAAAAACAAAAAGCCTTATTGGCTTCTGATTCGAAAACTAGGTTTTAATATTAAAACTTATAACTGTTATTCCAAATTCAGAAGAATTACTTGGGTAGCTGACGGGGTGGGGTGGGGGCGAGGGCATTTAATAGCTGGAAAAATGAAATTATCCACTATGAAAAATTAATAATTATGGTAAAAAGTTATTTTTTTCTGGCCAGTAATGCTGATACATTGAAAGTTATGATTGTAGTTAAGAAGTCAACAACCACATGAGAAATTACCATTTTGATAGGTTCAAATTACTTCTCCTCTTGTAGCCTTTCAACTAGAAAGCTATCCAATGCTTGCGGGAGTCTAATATTTTTGTACCTTACATGACAATGGATCTATTTTTATTCATTTTCAACTTATCACAAAATAAATTGTACTCAATATAGGCTTCTTCTTCAGTTTCTTTATTAAGTCTTAATCAAAGATTGGAATTATAAGCACAAGTTAATTGTTTGAGGTTTCAAGCATTAAAAAGCAGATTGTACCTCAATGCACTTGCCTTAATTAATAGCGAGCTCATATGTTCTATAGATGAGCTGAAGAGGCCTGTTGTGTTCGTTCCTTGTATGAAAATGTATCTATTATAAGCCTTTTCATTTGTTTTGTCTATCTATATTTCATAATTGATCTCAGTGATAAGCACAGACAAGATTTTTTTAAGTCCTAGACTTTGAAGAAAGATTCAAACAAAGAGTGTTCAACATAAGCATACTTCTAGACTTTGAAGAAATATTCAAACAAAGTATGAAGTTCTAGATTTGAAGAAAGATTCAAACCAACTGTTTACAACTTATGTAGAGTTCTAGATTTGAAAAAAGATTCAAACAAAACGTGCCTAAATCACTTTATTGCAATTTATATTAAAAAACATGCCTACATTGGTACGCGTTTGAAAATGAACATCAAAATGTGCTGAAAGAGCTAATGAAGAATCAGGATAGATGCGACATATATCGACACCAAAGCAATTGGAGCTCTGTAAAGATTGGAGCGTGGAGAGGGACACTCCCTTTCAGGATGTGCCTTTGGATGACTTCTCGATCATCCGTGGATTGAGTTCCGGATACAAATGCGTATAGAACAGGTGCCGTTCGCGGGCTATGTGCTGATCATGGGGGATTGACCATGCACCACGCCAACCCAAGGGCGTAGGCCGAGAGATGACAGTGGCCGAGCAAGAGTTACAATCCCATGATGCTGTCGGCAGTTCAGCTCAATCGGGCACTGAAGTACTAGGAGAGTAGGAACCCACATCCCATGCTTTTCTGACTGTAGAAGAGGATGTGGCCATGGCCAAGACCATTCCAAAAGAGATCAGCAGCGACGTGTTGCTCGAGATCAATTGTTCAAATGCACCAACTGCGTACAAACTACTCCGGGTCAAGGCCACATGCACATGTCAAAGGGTTGAACTCAACCGATTCGCGGGCTTTCAGGGAGTTACATAGTCCTCTGCACCCGTGCCCTTGGATTATAAAAGAAAATCAATATTTTTCTAATTTGCACTAACTAATTAAAAAGCACAAGAGAAAAACTAGGAAAAAAATTCAAAGTACATTTTCCTTTTCTTGATAATTAAAAAGGGCCCAGGGGAGCGACTAGTTTGCTAGCAACCCCCTTTGGACATTAGGTCCCGTTTGGTTCAGCATTTGAAATGCTCATTTGGGCTCTAAAGTCCCTTAGCCTAATGCAAATGGTGTTTGATAACTTTTTTTTACTCACTTTGGATCGATGCAATTGTATTTGGAATGCTTTCTAAGGGACTTTTGGCCAATATAAAGGTGGAGGTGCTTTCGGAATGCAACTTGCACTGTTCATCGCGACTATTTTATCTTCCCCAGAGGCAGGTCCGGCGGCCGGCGACCGCCGCCTGAGGGCTAGCTCGACCCCAGCGACCACTGCCTGGGGGTTGCGCGACCCCAGTGACTGCCACCTGGGGTTGCCGGACCTCGGGCGTTGCCGGGGTGGTGCGACCCAAGCAACACTTGGCCTAGGTCACCCGACCCTGATGACGCCCAAGGTTCGGCGACCCCAGGTGGCGGTGGCCAGCGACCAGATCTGGCCGTCGGCGGTTGGTCGGCGACCAAATCTGGCCGGCGGCGGTGGCCGGTGGTTAAGCTTCGCCGGAGCTTTTTTTAAAAAAAAAAAATTAGCAAAAGTCCTTTGGCCCAAGTTGATTTTAAAAAAACACTTATCAAACACTACTTGCATTTCGGAAAACCCCTTTAACCCAAAGGTACTTGTCTTCCCCCAAATGCATTCCCCCAAAGTCGAACCAAACGGGCCCATTATCATAAGGGTACCATGTACCTCCATAGGAAGTATGCCCCGGCTAGGTAATGTAGCACGAGCCATTTAGAATTTCGACCACAACATGAATTGAACTCGTGATCATGTGGAACACAAGTGACCTTTTATCACTAGACCCGCCACTTTGGTTATCAAAGTTCATTCATCTTGAATTCGTCCTTACCTGCCCTTTTTTTTACTCCCTTCGTTTTCGGTTTTTTTGACGATTGAGTTACAGATACAAGTAAGCTTATTGACCGGACGTTCTGCGCATGGCAACCATTCTGTGCCCGGGAACAGATTCTGGTCAGAAATGATTTTTTTTGATTTTGTGCCCGGGAACTGATTCTGAGCATTTGAAGGCGTTTGGTAACGGCCCAAAATTTCTATTCTTGAAATAGTAAAAGAACATAAATGCGTTTGGTAACGGCATAAAATTTCTTTTTATTAATAATATTTTAATAACATTTTAAATATTTTAATATTTCTTTCTTTTCTTTTTTTCTTCTTCTCCTTGGCCATGGCCGGTAAAATATTTTTTAATTAATAATAATTTTATTAAAAATAATTTTTTTATTTTTTTTGGCCATGGCCGGTAAAAAATTTTCTTATAAATAATTTTTTTATTAATAATTTTTTTAAAAATATTTTACTAAAAAATATTTTTATTGAAAATATTTTTTTTTTTTTTTCGCCATGGCCTGGTCGCTGGCCATGGCCGGTAAAATATTTTTTTTATAAATATTTTTTTATTAATAATATTTTAATAAAAAATATTTTTATTAAAAATATTTTTTTTATTTTTTTTGCCATGACCTGGTCGCTGGCCATGGCCGGTAAAATATTTTTTTATAAATATTTTTTATTAATAATATTTTAATAAAAAATATTTTTATTGAAAAATATTTTTTTTTATTTTTTTCGCCATGGCCTGGTCGCTGGCCATGGCCGGTAAAATTTTTTTTATTAATAATATTTTTTTTATTTTTTTCGCCATGGCCTGGTCGCTGGCCATGGCCGGTAAAAATTTTTTTATTAATAATATTTTTTTTATTTTTTTTTTCGCCATGGCCGGTAAATTTTTTTTTATTAATAATATTTTTTTATTTTTTTCGCTATGGCCTGGTCGCTGGCCATGGCCGGTAAATTTTTTTTATTAATAATATTTTTTTATTAAAATATTTTAATCTTACCAGATACGGCGAGGGTGGCCCTCGCACCTAGGACATTAGAAGTTATATTAAAAACCAAGAAAAGAAGAAGAAAAAAAAATCGATTCTCATTTTTGTTCCCTAATCAAGAAGCTACTTTTTTTATTCTTGATTCTCGCTCCAAACGATTCTGGGCACAAATTTGCAAGAATTTGTGCCCAGAATCAAAAAATTAAACAAACGGATTTCTATTCCCAAACTGATTCTGGGAACAAAAGAACAGAATCAAACACTATTTGTCAAGTTGCCATGCGCAGCCTAAAAGTAGGCCAAAAGATGCAACTAAATGACGGAAACATTGGTAGGTTTCTCGAGATCAAGATCGGTCAAGAAAGAAGATCGAGTTTCTTTTGTTGGCTGAAGCAAAGAGTTCTGGTATGAATATGGGATTTTATGCGTACTAAGAAATCTGAGACAGGACAGAAATGACATCGATCCAGAATGTCTGATTCAACCAATCTGTATTTAGTTACCTTAATGATGGAGATCCATTTGTAGAAGAAAATGACATGAAAATACTTTCTTGACTTATGTTTCTTCAAATAATTCTGACATTGTTTATGATCCACTCTTTAAGGTAAATAGCACTGAAAGATGAGAAATCTTAATAGCTTCTTGAATATTGGGTCCAATGTATAATCTTGGAAGTACTGTGCCATCTTCCGAACATAATTGCCTTCTTTTGATACCCTTCATCGGAGCCTATATGGATGCATATTCAGTTGAAGAGTCCCATCATTAGCTCAATATCAAGCACCGCATAGCAAGAGCAATGTCAATCGACAAAGTTACGAGTCCCTACAATCTTCACCGATGTAAATCAAAGTATACAAAATTAAGTCGGATGAACCTCGAAAATCTAATTTCGTATGGACCGACCTCTTTGCATTTCATTATTAGACGATATGACTGGTACACAAAAAACTTTCTTCACCATAGAACACCTTAAATTAAGTTCTTAAAGATGGAAAAGAATTAGAAATTGACTTGCAAATTGCGTTGTGAATTAGAGATTGTATATATATGTTATTTGATATCAATGAAAGTTTTTTTTTTTTACTCTCATTGATATCAGATAACATAGATATACAATCTCTAATTCACAACGCAATTTGCAAGTCAATGACAGCTGACACGGTAATTTATTTGTATGGAACAACCTGATTTTTCTCGACACTGACGCTAAAACTGCAAAACATAAGTTTTAAATAAATCCTAATCCTAGGGTGTCTTGAACATGTCCAAGCAACACTCAGTCCTGAGTCCTCTGTTCCAGAACTTGTGGTAATATTCTTCATAAGTGAAGCTCCTGTAAGCTGCAGGATGTTCGTGGTCAATCAAGCCCGGAGCAGGTGCAATTAGGGATTCTGGGGATGGGCAGTAAAACGTTGGGACGGAGATTCTCTCCGTGTTACAGTTCACCACTGCTCTATGAAGTACGCTCTTGTACTTGTCATTGCTAATGACCTGATTCAAGCAACAAACATGTCCAGTTCTTGGACTTGTTAGGAAAACAACTGATGAACTTGTGCAAAAAAGATGGATCAATCTTCATCAGCCAGAATAATTATGCCAAATTTTGTTTCTTGTGCTAAGCTAAAAGATTCGCTACTTCCACTTTTTATGAATTGCTGTACCAAATTCTCCTACTATTTAACTTAGAGTCTCATACTTGGAAATGGTTTAAAAGAATGTTCCAAAAGTACCTGCATTTGATCTCCTATGTTGACAATGAAGGTGTTGGGGATGGGATTGACAGCAACCCATTTTCCATCCCTAAGGACTTGTAAACCGGGCACGTCGTCCTGAAGAAGGATGGTGATTAAATTCGGGTCGGTGTGGCCCGGCAACCCGTAAGTGAGCTCGGGCTGTGGGCATGGCGGATAGTAGTTCATAGCCATGTGCTGACCATGCCTGCCCAAGTTCTTGCTTATGTATTCCCTTTCAAGCCTCAAGCTTTCTGATATGGCTTCCAACAGTTTGAGCACCAGTTCTCTTACTCTTGTGCAATACTCACCCACCTCCTTCCTGCTCGTCAAAAAGATTGAACCAGCAATGGACTTAAAGCGTGCACGCGGATTATGTCGGCCGAGACACGGTTAAAAAATCGACTACTTTTAGGTAGGCTGTTTCATACTACCACAACGTGGTAGGCATGATAAATCAGTAGAAAGTACCACTTTCTTTTTCCGGACTCTGATTGACCGACTCAATCAGTATTGTCTCTTGATGAAAAAGTGTTCTCTTCCCCTTACTTTCTTGGGTCCTACATATTTTCTACTGAGAGATTCTTGATGTTGCTATCTTTTTGCTTGGCAAATATCAGACTTTATAGAAGCTACAGTGAGCAAGCTTTTAACTTTCCAAACTTCACTGGAAAAACTTGTGAAATCCTCATGATCAACATGAATCTTCAACGGTTGAATATGACAAAGATCATGCGCGTCTACATTTTTTTTTATTTAGAAGGAATCCCCACCGCATATGGTAATTAACTTGGGCCTATGAAATATCCGAAAACCTTATGGATCAAATAAGTTCGAGCCATAACTTGAATGTATGATCCTAATAAAAATTGTTTGCATGTGATGATAGGTATAATCAAACCGATTGTGCATCTTATAAAGACACGCAAGGTCATTTTCTAACCGCTAAGCCATCCCAATCGAAAAGATTTATTAATAAAAGACATTACTTAATGTTGAACATTTCAGTCAATATAAATAATAAGCTTTGTTTATTACCTGAATGATGGAGGATTGGCAGGCCAGTCATGCATGTATTCTTCAAGAGGGTAGCAATGGAGTCTCAAGAAGTCCCTCCAGTTAGACACCTTCTCGGTCTTGAGATTAAAGCTAGTCGAAAGCCTGGTCGATTTCGACGGGTCATTGGAGTAATTCTTCAGCCTCTCGCTCTCCGGCAACCGGAAAAATTCCCTGGCTATATTCAGGATGGCCTGCACCATCTCTTCCGGTATCCCGTGGTTCTTGATCTGCCAAAGAAAATGTCGAGCAGAATCACATGAGACAGAGCAAAAACTCATCACGGGATGATCAAAATCAAGTTTTAATCGACACCCATTTGCCTATTTAGCATTTTTAAGCTAACCCACAGCGTAATATGCCAATGCTGTACCTGAAAGAAGCCATCTTGTTGACATGCTTGACCAATCTGTCCGATAATGTCATCATGGTTGGGACCATAGAGGCCTTGGAGATCAACAAGAGGGATGGAGGAGGCATCCGAGGCCTCGACCTCAGCGAGGTTTGGGCGGTCCGCCTCGGGCCGGATGTAACTGTCGGGCACGCGGTCGATGCCGGACGCGAGGTCGGTGAGCAAGAGCTTAGGGGTAGCTGTAGCCATATCGCTCAGCACTGCAAATGATATATTTCTTGCTGGACACAGAACTTGCGGGTCTTCGCATTTATAAACAGAGTGATCGAATCGGGCAACGCCGTGTACTCCCTACCAAACGTTATTCTACACAAAAAGAGCAAGGAAAACAAGAAATCTTTTTAATTTTTGCGGCGACCGAGTCCTTGTTATTTTGTGCAACGTGGTTTGTAAAAGGAACATTATAAATACGTCTCTTGCCATGTGGTCAGCATTTGGCTTCCGGCTGATCTTTTCAATCGCCCTGTTCGGTGCCGTCCTGATATTCAATGTAAAAATGTGGATGTTGCAGCAATCTATGACTCGTGCTCATCTCGACGGAGCTTGCCTGCCACACATAGAAATTTTGTGCCGTGTTTCATCACGTTTCGTCAACGTGCTATGCAGTACGTAAGAAATGCGCAGCTTCAATTCGGACCGGCACTGATTCCGTGTGTAGGCCACCCATTGTCATTTGAAAATGATCCTTCTAAATTTCTCGTGGGTACGATTTCATCGAGTTCCGACCTCGTCTCCCACTAGAAAGATCGCAATTACATAAGCGCATCCGTCAACAATCCCTCCTAGTCTCGAGGCAGTTGGGCCTCGGTTGGAGAAGGAAGGCAAGAGAACAAACAAATCTTCCTTTCTCGTCCTCACAATAAAATCGTCGACCTAAAACGATGGGATGACGTCATCGTGCTTACGTAGGGACGCCGACGTCAGCATTGGAATTGCTCTACAGCTAAGAGGCGTTTTAATTAATTATGCCAACCAAGACTTTGATTGACATTGTCTTGTTTCGCAAACCGTGGGTCCACGTGGGGGATGACCAGATCGCGACGGTGACGAGAGATCTTCCTGCGAAAGAGAAAGGAGTGAACGAGGACAATTTGTCTGCCCCTTTTGATGCTTTTCTCCCTTTTTGCGACAATAGAAATTGACCCGATGCCGACGAATGAGCGCATAGATTTAAATATCTCTGAGGTCGGCAGGGGATCCACCGTCCGTAGATTACACCGAGAAAGTAATGTTTATGAGGAGCCCTAATGTTTTGGTTCATTTGGAGTTTGAGTGCTCGTGATAGATTAGGCGGTTTTGGCATGGATGCATTAATATAAGGGCAAAGGCCACCGGAAACCTTAAATTATGTCCCATTGTGACATATTTACTATAAACTTTTTTCCATGATATGAAAATATCTCAAGTTTATACTTATGTGATACATTTATCTTCCGTCGACGTTCCGTCAATAAGAATCCTTAAAAATCTGCCCGCATGAACGCCAGAAAGCAAATAGTATTGACATGGCTGAAAAATTACGTTATTTTGGCTGAAAAATCATCTAACAGATCTTGACGGAGGGTAAATGTGTCACGTAGGTATTAATTTAGGATTTTTTATGTCACAATTTTTTTTTTTAAAGTAAACGTGTCACAAGGGCTATAGTTTAGGGTTTTTGATGTCACAAAAAAAGTTCAGGATAAATGTGTCATGGTGGGTATAGCTTAAAGTTTTTTGTGACTTTTTTCCTTAATATAATCAATTGCTAATTTGGTCTGATTTTAACTAATTTTGTTGTGTAAATTTTCAGTTATATAAAAACGAATCCTAATGTATAATTTCCTCGTCTAGAGCAAGCACTACTGTTGACACCAAAAAATATCAAAGTCTTTGCGTGTTGATTCGAGCTAAAGAGGCCGAGCAAACTACAATAGGGGTGACATTTGCCAAGTGTTGAAGGTCCTTAGTCAGTAAGTACAGCAAATTGACAAGATAGCTAGTTTTAGCCAACGGGAAATATGAAGGCAAAACTGAGTCCTAAAACATGAGCGTCGATAAGTGAGGCTTGACCTAACCAACAAAGGGCCACGACTAACACGACTTAGGATGAGCCGGGAAACGAGTAGTTATTTTAAGTAATGGAGCCTATAATTTTGGATGCAACCGTGAAGAGGGGAAATCAACGTAACCATCAGATTATGGGATCATGGATCTCGGAGGCCACCAACGACAGGGCCGAGAAACGTGCATTATTGCAACCGTCGAGTGGTGAACTATGGGGCTTAGGAAAAAAAAACTAGAAAAATATACCATATGAGAAGATCTGACCGAAAGATACTCCTCTTACTTAGAGGATGAAGTTAATCAATCTCTTGATGTTACCGATTGCATATTGGAGTTCGACGAGCCTCCTCTGAAGGAAGATAATAAAATCATGGAAGTTCATGATCCCCAAGTTAAAGTTGATATCGGCAATGGAACTCAATGACAACCAACTTATGTGAGTGCATTTTAAACAAAAAGTTTAAAGATGAGTTGGTCGTTCTGCTCAAAAGATACAAAAATTGTTTTGCATGGGACTGTCATCACATGCGAGATGTAGATAGGAATATAGTTGAACACAAGCTGTTAATTAAAAAGGGTGTAGCTAATACAAACAGCCTCTAGGGAGATTTGCCTAGGAGGTAGTTTTGAAGATCAAAGAAGAAATCGAGCGGCTAGTGAAGGCAAGTTTAATAAGGATAGCTAGATATGTTGAATGGTTGTCCAATATAGTGTCTATTAAGAAGAAGAAATGAAAAGTTGAGAGTATGCATCGATTTTAGAGACCTCAACATGGTAACACCGAAAGATGAATACCCCATGCCGATTGCCTACGTGCTTGTTGACTCGGCTTTAGGAAATGAAATGCTATCGCTGATGGATGATCAATCAAGATATAATCAAATCATCAAAAGTCAAGAAAGATGTACCCAAGACAGTATTTAGATGTCCATGAGCTATTGGCACGTTCGAACAAATGGTCATGCAATCAATCTTCCAATGATCCATTTGGCTTCATTAGCTTCCAAAGACTTCTAAGGACATTAGCATCCCCACCGATTCCTTATCTTCACTAATTAATCATATTAGTTTCCAGAGACCTCCAACGACATCGGCATTTCCGTTGATTCCTCGTCTTCACTGACTTGACTGAATCAGTTTTAAAAGATATCCAAGGACATCAGCATCTCCATTGATTCCTCATCTTCATTGATTTGACCGATTCGGTTTTAGAAGACCTCAAAGGACATCAACATCAACGCTGATTCCTTGCCTTCACTAAACTCACCAAGATCATTGGTCTTGTCACGGTCTTCCACCTCATTTAATACAGAACTGCTCCACCCAACAACATGTTGTCCCGATAACAATCCACTCTTCAATTTTCTGGTCTTTCCAAGCATATTGATGATTGAGACTCTACCAAGCTGTTTACCTCATGGTCCTTCCAAGCTCTATTGAACATTCTTGTTCTAGACTTGTTCACCAGTGCAGTCCTTCCAAGCTTCAATGAACATTACCATTCTAGGCTTATTCTCCATCACCAAGGACCATCTAACTGTTTATCCTATCTTGGTCCTTCCAAGCCATGGCGAACATCCTCGTTCTTCCTGATTTGTTCATTCTCGATCAAGGTCCTTCCAACTTGTTCACCTTTATAGAAATCCTCCTAGCTTATAGATATATTGACATTCAATACCTTGTTGACCTCGGTAGTAATCCTTCCATATCGGCAAAACATTCCCAATTGTGATAGAGCACTCAACATATCAGAATCACACCTGATATTAGGATAACCTTTACATTGTAACTTTTGTATATATCACCTAGTGCTAAACCAATACACACATTAGTAGCTTTTGATTATCTTTGTCATCGTCAAAACAAATAGGGGATCCTCCCAACAAGCTCTGTTGTGATCAAGCTAGTGATAGACACTGGAACAGAAATAGACTAAAAGATGACTTACCATAGTAGGAGATGGGAAACCTCTTACATAGGATGGTAGCCTTATCTTGATCGAATGTCCTTTTTGTCTTGTATTAAGGTATATTGAATATATGAGTAAAAAAAAAATAGATAACATAAGGGGAGGGTTTGCCTTCTTTTTTTTTTTTGTTGAGGGCAAGCTGCTTTTTCATCATGAAATTGATTAGTTAGGTAAGGCTTTAAAAAGATTAGATAGTTTGTATCTTTCAATGAAACTCAATAAATAAGTAGGAGGATAGGTAGAACAAGACCTCTTGAAGTCTACCCGGGTCTTCATTCATCCTTTCGGCCCGACTAGAACATGTGCATCCAGGAGGTGGTGTGGGCATCCAGGAGGTGGTGTGGGTAAAAAAATATTGGAAATAGTAGGGCTCCTCGATAATGTTGGAGGGGCGGTGCAATTCCTCTTTCTTCTTAATATATATATATATATATATATATATATATATATATATATAGAGAGAGAGAGAGAGAGAGAGAGAGAGAGAGAGAGAGAGAGAGAGAGAGAGAGAGACCATTTGTGGTTGAAATAGCTATTATATGATATGTTAGATGGAGGTTATATAATAACTATTACAGTTGATCAAAAATAATATATAGGGAAAATCTCAAAAAGGGACTCGAAGTGGAGTCATTTTCTCAAATAATGGCCTGAAGTGGATATTGTCTCAAATAAAGGTCTAAAATGGCCAAATTGTCTCAAATAAGGACCTTTGGCCGGCCGGTGAATATTTCGTCGCCAGAGAAGGGGTATTTTAGTAAAAAAATTTATAAATATATATTTTTTATTTTTTTACTTTCTTTTTCTTTTCCTTTTTATCTCTTTTTGCTTCTACCCTCCCCCACCGTCACTACGCCTAGCCGGTGACCTCCGCCGGCCTCAGGTGAGGGCGACCCTCGCCCGCCTAGGCGAGGGTGACCTCCATCGGCCCTGGCGATAGCCGGCGGAGGGAAGAGAGGAAAAAAAAAAAAGAAAAGGAAAAGAAAAGGAAAAGGAAAAAGAAAAGGAAAAGAAAAAAACAGAAAAAAGAAAAAAAAATTCAAAAAAGTAAAAGATGAAAATACCCTTTGGCCGGTGAGATTATGTCCTTATTTGAGATTAATATGGCCACTTCAAGCCTTTATTTGAGACAAGATCTACTTCATGCCCTTATTTGAGAAAATGACTTCACTTCGGGCCCATTTTTGAAATTTTCCCAAATATATATAATAACTATTACAGCTTTAGTTGTTTGTGGTATGCTCAAGTGCTCGTACTACTACTCTTAAACACGGTGACATGCAATGACTTA